TGCCTCTCCTGAGCTGAAAGACCGGAATGGTCAAAACAATGCCAAGCACGCGCCTCACAGAAGCTCCGCCCCGCGTGCTTGGCACACAGCCAGCGTGTTGCGAAATTGCAAAACTCCACTTTGAAGTTTGAAAATTATGCAGTCGAGAAGAAAAAAGTGTAGCAATTTTGACGCCAACACATCGCCATGGCGCAATGCTAGTGTACAGAGTAAAACTGCGCGGCTGCGTTCTGTAGCCTTTCTTATCTGCCAGCGATTACTTATAATAACTTTGCATCAAAATTCAACAAAACTGCTTTTCAATTCCCAATCACCAGTTGCCAGCTCACATTCAAAGGATCTGGCAGCAGCTACAGCCATCGGCAATTGAGATGCCAAAGGTCTCGAGCAGAGTTCACGCAATTTCATCGCCTCGCAATTCTTCACAAAACAACAAATTCATTGCGTGCCGATCATCTACCCTCGATATCATCCCATATGTCTTCCCTCAACATGACGTGGATTACGTGGCTTGATGAGGCGCCGCCTCGCCTCGGGCTCGCGCCACGTTGCGAGCGCATCATTTGGCGCAACGTGGCGCTCAGCACAACGTGGCGCAGGCATTTCCACGTTCTTCTTGTTGCCACATCACGCCGAAGATGCGCACGCAAACGTGGCGCAAGCCCGAGGCGAGGCGGCGCCTCATCAAGCCACGTAATCCACGTCATGTTGAGGGAAGACATATGGGATGATATCGAGGGTACATTTTGGTTGTGATAGGTTTCCGACACGACTAATCGTGACTCACTATTCACGACCGAAATGCAAGATGACCGACATGCAATGGCTCGTAACTGTCTGGAGAATCGCGAGACGATGAAATCGCGTGAACTCTGCCCGAGGCCAAATGCGGCGAGGTATTCTTCGATCCGCAAGGTTCACATAAATGAAAGATCTCTAGCCCCTAATTGTGAGCTAATAACTTTTCGGAGAAGGACCACAAACACCAATCTTGAAACAGATGCGCAATGTTTACTCTGTTAACCAAGTAACCAAACTCACATCTTCTGTACATATTCATAATCTGTAATAGAAAAACATGCCAGAAAATGTTCCAAAAATACCAGAATCATGCATAAAATAAAACGCTTGATAACCACACCGGAAATGAACAAAGCAAACAAATTCATCAATGATTTCGCAGAGGGAGTTGAGGTAAAATAGACTATAGATTTGACTTCTGAGTTGTTATTAATATTTGTAGAATGAGATACAATCAGGTGGTATGCTGGAATAAGTGCACGATGTAACAAAAAAGGAAACATGAAAATATGGCAGCAAATAGATCAGAATTTTTCAGCAATTTTCAAGAAACCTACATAAAATTGGCCAACAGATCTACAAGGCAGAGGTAATGAATGGCTACTTAGCAAGAGATGTTCAATTAGTTGCATACAACATCCAAACGGCACATCTACCAATCCTACGCTAGCATCTTCACCGTTAGCACGAGGATCACTAAAGAAAAACTTGCACCACACAATCAAAGTAATCTATGTGAAAACTTACGTAGCTGCCGTATGCGCATCGAAAACTTTATAAAGCATCTTTACGGCTGGGAATGGATGGATCTCGCCTAAAGTTCTTTTTCATCAGCAAATCATGTAAATTGATTTAATGCAGTTAATCTCATTTTTTTATTTGCTAGACAAATTTGGCAACAAAGTTTTTTTTCTTTCAAAACTTACGTTCAACTTGTTCTCCATCCTCATGGAGCTCACCAGTAGCAGCTACCACATACGAATCTAGCAGCCATATCTAGAAAATGAGAACAACATACAAATTCCACCAAAAATAAATGAATCTTACCAATACATGAGGCGTTTTGTCCAGTGACCGTACTACCAGTTTCAAACTAGACTGCGCTTCACATGAAGACAAAACCAGTTGTGCAAAGAAAACGGAGGTATCGGGGAACCTAGAGACAAAAAACGCATTCAAAGCTCTCACTGACGACGAAACGAGGGCTATAGAGAGGTAGAGCACGATAGTAATATGCAAGAAGAGAAAAAACCAGCGAAAACTTTCTAATTCGAAGATGACAGAAGTCAAAAACAAGTTTTCGCATAGCAAAGTCAGATTATCACTAGTTAAGGTGAAAGGCGAGCACAATTTCTCGTCAACTATAATAAAAACAGTTGCGAAAATCTTACCTGGACTTCATATAAGGTTTGGAATTTACAGAAAATGTACAAACTGCATGATGAAGAAGTACAATCTTGCTGCTGGCTGTAACATCAAATTTTTCAGATGGAAAAATTAGAAACGCTGACACGATACATACTCTTCATCACATGTCCTAACTCAGAATTACAGCCTTTACACAGAACAACTCGATCATCATGGCAAATATCGGGCTCAGACAAGATCTAAAATTATTTTCATGCTGAAGTCAAGCACAGGAGTATGCAAATGCTTACATCTTTGTTTACTCCAGCATAGGAGTGGCTGACTAGAAATCGTTTTGCTGTTGGATACCAGTCGGAGTGCATGTTATCGGAATCCGTACTGTCAAATTTCCTACCGTGCCTAAAGTAAATGGGTGATACCTACTTAGTCAATTGCGCAAAGACAATAATTAATCGAGAAAGAATAAGTAGTGCACAAGCTCAGAAGTTTGCTACCACAACTACGATGTATCGTTGTTAATGGTAAAAGCTTTGAAATGCAAAAAATCAATCAAATTACCCGTTAACTGGGTCTTACTGTAAAAGTAAAACATAATGACCATGAAAACCATCTAAGATGATAGTAATATAAAAATGCTACACAACTCACTTTTCCGGATCGCATCCTGCTCCACATGTATCTCTGCAGTAATAATCTGCTGATGGAGATGTCTCTAACCAGTCATCGCTGGGTAAGCATGTGAAAGCCACTTCCCTGGAATAATTGGGATAACCTGATTAGATACTTGACAATTTGCATACCCAGTTTTGTTTTCCAAAATCGGTCGACTGCACTGGGTGCAAGATAAAGAAACGCTGGCTCCAGAGGATTCATTACAGTATTCTTGAAGCGCATGAGTATCACTGATATCACTAGCAAGGCGATGGAACGTCTTGGGAACTGTAATTTACGAAAATCAATCCTGCTAAAGTCAAATTCTTGAGACAAAGCAACAGATAACCATAAATTCAAAATATTATGTAAGGAAAAAAAAAGAAATAAGAGGGAAGTGGAAAACATATGTAAGAAAAACCAACCAAGAGGTAATCCATCTGCTTCAACATGCAACTTGCACATAAACAGTCGATGATTGTCCGCCCAAGTTGGTGCACAAAGAGATTGCGGATACAGCGTCAAATTGGAAATATTCACGCTATATCTGGGTGACTTCTTTTCCAAATGCATATTTTCAGCAATTGCAGCTGGAATTCCTATCTCGACGCTATGTTCACTTATCCGAACCAAATTCAAGGATTCATTCCTAAACGTATTCGTCTACAAACGTATCGCTGCAACTTCTTAAACAAATTGTATGTATGAACCTACTCCTTGTTATTTTCATCATGTTCCACACCCTCATCGTTCATGGGATCCTCTGTTGGACAGTCGACAAAAAGCGATGCCAGCTCAGCACGTGGCTTCACTTCCAAGAAAAAGGAGTGCGTATGCCATTCCAACATTGCTAGACCTACTTTAATGGTCTAAATAGGTTTTATGATCATACAGAAAAAAAATTGCTAATCTCCATAGAAAAATGGACTGCGATCCAAAAGCTTTTTGAGTCAAGAATGACCCTTTCCAAAGAAATAAATTAGCAGCTAGGCACCTCCTAAATGAACAACCATATACTATTAATGTAGTGAATACTTATTTGGTTAATTCCTCGTCACGAGTACAGTTCCTTGATTGACCAGATCTTCTGTGTTGTGTCAGCGTATGGCTGTCTCACTCAGACACTCGCGGTTGACTCGCGCAGGGGATCCGCTCACAAAATGGACGTTCGCGGCAAAATCCGGTGGACCGGCGCGAGTCATTATTTTAGTTTCGTCCGGATTTTGGTTCAATTTTGTCGCGACGGGCGAGGAGATTTCGAAATAACGCACCTATACGTCGACGTATTGATCAATTCTTCCCTGCATTTGTTGCATTTGTTTTTTTTCTTAGATGAATCTATACTTAGCAAAGCATGTCTTTCCAGAGACGTTCCATGCCGATAAAAAACTGATAAACCAGGTTTAGACCAAAGAGAGTCAGCTTGAGATGCTCATTCCGAACGCGTCCTTCTGATCACACGGCCATTATCTGCGTTGATCATCATCCGGAAGTAAAGGTGAACCCTTTTTCTCTTTTTCTAGAAGTTATATTTCATTCTTAGATTGTTTTGCTTGCTTACTTTGGCTGATCACTGGACTTTGAGTATTTATGCTAACGTGTACTATTTTGATTTTCAAGCGCTTTTACGAAGACGAATGGGATGACGATTTTGCGTTGCGATCCCCGAAGCCAAGAAGGGAACGCCGAGCTAAGCATAACCCTGTTCTTGAGGAGGTCGGAAGAGTTTCCGCATTATGATTACCATGATTCACCTATGATATAAGCTCATTCCAGGATATTATAGAAGAGGAAGAATTCGATTTCCTTTCCTTTGCGTGCCTGATTACAACTCAAATTCAGTAAGCTATACTTAAACATAGTGTTCCTTTTAATAGGTGAAAAATGAGGATGAACTTATCATTTGTTCTCTTTGCTATAGCACGAGTCTCTCGTACGATGTCTAAGCGCATAATATCTTGCACAATCAGCTTTCTAATCATTTTGACCTAGAGTTTTTGTTCATTCAGTCTAATCTCACACTTGATCAGCTCCCGTTCGACCTACAATCATCATGGCTAGTGGCACAAGCTTTCGTGCAGAAAGTGCAGCGATTGGGAGAGTTAGAAAAAACAACATGTTCCTTAGGTTTGTGACTCAAATTTCACGCTGTGGGGCAAGTAAGAACACATTCATTTATTATGCGACTTACATGTGTTTCAGCTATCGAGCCAATTGAAGAGAACCCCGAAACGCTAGATGCTGAATCAGCTTCTGTTGCAAGCTATCAACAAAGATGTAGTGAAGCATCAACGGCTGTCCACTCCGTTACTCCAAAGGTGAATAACCTTTATTTACCTTTATCAGCGGGAATGCTTGCTTTTTCAGAGCCGTTTGCAATCAACGTCAATGTGCATTTGAGTACATTACTTTCAATAACTGATTTAGGTTTCATCCTTGACGCTCTTGGCCTACACCGCGACCAGCTTTTGAGGACGCCAGATGAGCACAAACGGAATCCAAATAAGTATGTATGTTCTCGAAAGACCTTCATGTCCACTAGAATTTAGGTGGTGGTTGGACTTGGCCGAAAATGACGACGCTCGCGAAAGATTATTCCACGTCCTCTCAGAGAAAAGAGTAATCTGGAGCGGTAAAACGAGGATAGCAATAGGGAGAGCTTTGTGAGTTTTCTCATACAGAAAGCGATACTTCTGAACTATAATTTTGCAGGGAAGACCTTTGAAGGTATCATTTTGACCCTGATAGGGCCATGCTCCTTCCATCAAAGGTGATTCATTTGTTTTATACGATCCTGGTAACAATAATTTTTCATTTTCAGAAAAAGCGTGTCATGGTCGAAGGCAGCACTGTTACTAAAGAAGACGAAGTGATCCAGAAGACTGAAACCGTCGAAGACGAAGTTGAAGTAGTCGAAGACTGATGCTGTTCTCATTCTTAGTCGTAGTTTTTTCGTAATGTGTCGTTTTTGTGGTGTTTTCAATCCTGTAATTGCTGCTGACTGTGCATATCATTTCCATGTCATTGTAAACTCTACTCGAGAAGATCATGCGGTATTTGTTAATAAATTTTATGACGTAAGACTGGGTTTTATCAGCAGAAAAGAAACAAGCGTGAGAAACGGGACCCAGCGTGACAAAGGACTCAAGGTAAGTCAAAAGGAAGGCATGAGAGAGCGCTTAGAGAACGCAAAAAGCTTTCACTAAGGGGTAGACCGCGTGCTCTGAACGATCGCGACATTTTGGTGTCTCGCGCAGGTGTCCTGATTTTGCCCCGATTTTGCCGCGCACTTTTGCCGCGACACAAAATCAGGTGTCCTGATTTTGCCGCGACACCGATTTCGCGAGTCGCCCACGCATTCAATGGCTACACCTCGTTTTGCCCTGCGCGAGTCAACCGCGAGTGTCTGAGCAGTGAGCGAGCCACTGCTCCAGCAGCTCGGGTCCTCGCGGCCGCTTCGCTCGCGCCTTGCGCCGCGTTCACGCACGCTCACTTCGGCAAGGCGGTAGCGGGAACCCCAGCAAGTGGATCCGTGACACTTTCATTGAAGCGGCTTATGCGATGCTTTTTTTGTACTATTTTATGCGAAATTATGTTTGCGGATTTTCAATCGGCTGCTTCTACAAATATGCCACTAGTCCTTTACTGCACTATTATGATCTCGGATGGAACTACCATTTTACGATCCAATCTGTGTAACTGGCAGTGAAGCTCTTTCGAGCGGCTCGAATCGCACACCGCCTCGGTTGGGCTTGCACCCCGACCCCGTTTGCGAACGTGTATTGACCATTTTCTCACGCCTTATCAACGGCTGCCGAGCCGCTCGAGACGCCGTCACTGCCAGTGAGACAGAGCATATGTCCTATGGTCCATACGTGATACAAAACATTCGTAACTAAACTCAACACTACCAGACCAAGTAGTACTCAGTCATAACTGAGATAAAACAAGATACAACCCTCATAAAATGAAACATTTATTTACAGTGTATCAAAAAAGGAATATGAGGGCAAGAAGTACAGCAGTTCAAATGATTGCAACCCGAACATCTAGTACGCACACACACCATATAACAAGAATTCAAGCAATACAGAACCAAATTCGTAATACAGATACAGGATAAAAGCAGTAGTTCAGTAGAAATCAAATATGGAGATATTATGCTAAAACCGACGCTCGAGCATAAAAATTGTAGTCAATATTAAACGACTCTCGCGTTTCAGGTACATAATTGGGAAGAAGAAAGGGTACAGTTGTTCATGAAATTTGAGGTGGGAAGACGAGGGAGGATAGGAGATACTTGATTTTTTAGCCAGCTACAGTCAAGGCAGCAGCGGGAGCCACTGTTCAAGCCTGTGAGACGAGTGTCTGACATCTGCCACGACTCACAGGCAGCAGCTCACCTACCTGAGTGTCATTATGGCTGAAAAATCAACTGTAAGGGTATGATAATTGAATATCAGAGATAGAAACGAATTCGGAGCCAAAACAGCCTGATGATTGAGCAGATTTTGTCAAAACTACGTTCAATTTGAGAAAAATACGCTGTTTTGTCTCTGAAAAGGCGACACCAGCTTGGCCCAACATATTCCTTACAGATAAAGGCTTATGGCTCAAAAATTGTTAGATAAGCACATTCCGTAACCACAATGTGATAAAATCAATAAAAAGCTGTTAGTAAATGTCAATACAAGTAGCTTCAATGATTAAAATAGTAGCAGGTACATCAGTGACACTATGATGGTATCAGTTCGATATTTTTTCGTTAGTCACTATCACTATAGGGTCTAGAAATTCACAAACACTCATTTCAACGTTTGGGACAATATCACACAGAAAATCAGCGTTGGCTAGAAATAAACGACTAAATGACATAAATTTGCACAAGTACACACACACGTTACATATATAACTCAAAAGATCGCATGGGCAGACATTGATGTGAACCCGAAACGAATGTATGGAGGAATGAGAGATGCGAGCGTGCGTAAGAAATATATCTAGAGCGAAGTCGCGTCGCCGTCGTCGTGTCGTCGCGTCACAAATTTCGCGATCTTAAAGTCATCGAATGTGTAGTCACCGAACGTGTGGAAGTCGGAGCTGATACATTGTTCAGACGAGTGTTTGATCTACTGGAATTGGTAGAGCGACCTAGAACGTTCACAATCAGTTTCAGAACAAAAACTAGATAAACTTTAGAGAAAAAAGGTGAACGACATGACTTGTAAGAAACCTTTAGTTCTCAGCTAGACGCTAGATTTGCCAAAGAGATAAAAACTTAGTCCGAATACAAATCGAAGGGTCTCAGAAGGTTGACACCAAAAATTTCTTTCACTGTGCGAATGGTTGAAAATATGAGAAAGAGTTTGTTGTCTCACGACTCTTTTCTAAACCTTTCAGATCCAGATAAGAAATTCATAATCCTCAGAAGTGACCTCGCCAGACAAGTAATAGCTTGTCACTTCCCAAGCACAACGCGAACGCAAGCAACAGGTAATTTTACGAGGTTCAGAATATGGTGTTGGAGCTTTGGGCATGAAATAGACGATAGTTCAGAACAAGATCTAGTCATGGACTTCATATCAAGTTTCCACGTTTTTGCAACTCATTAACTAAGCTGATCAGAAGATCATCATCGCGCTGTAAAATAAAAAGGAGTGAAATGATAATCTGACATTACATTTTGTGAATATTTTCCGTAGAAAGACTTTGAATCGTAAATGTCCGCTATGGTTTATTTCGCAATGTTACAGTGAGGCTTCAACAATTAACACATAATGTATATAAAGTAAGTTTATAGAATTCAGACAGCACCTAACGCAACGAGTTTTTTTTTTGAAGGAAGTTCAATTGCATGATTTTGACAACCCCAGGTTGCAAACTAAATCTCATTAAACATTTCACATAGCGGTGGAAACAGCCAACAAGTAAATGAAGGTTGCCATTTGACGGTTATCGAGAAAACTCAAGAAAATTGACGAACAGAAGGTACATATGTGATCCATATATGTCTCACTTTGGCAACACACATATTTCAAAGAAAGCACCGCAATTCAAATAAGTAACTCACTGTTGGCTGCAGGTTTTTCAGCACTAAAAGCTAACACACTTTGAGAAAAGCACACACATATATGGGAAAGACTACCAAACCGCCACCAAGAGACCAGACCCCTTCCCGACTTTCCAGACTAGTTACTATTAATTCTATTATGATTTACAATTTCCACAGAATATACGAAAAGAAAAAATAAACTGAACATAGTGAATGAGGTGCAAAGAATATATATTACAAACGAGGCGCACCATTTCCTCCTCCCGTGCCACATCGGCGATCACGAGACTTCTCCTTCTTCGATTTAGCGCTTGTCTTGCGACTTCGTTCCGCTTCAAGCTCTTTCAGCCTGTCACGTTCCTCTTTTTCGCGTCGTAATCTCTCCATTCGTGCTTTTTCCAAATTGCGACGAGATATATACTCATGTCTGAAAGATATCGAGGTAATCACAGAATGAAACGAAAAGAATCATAGAACAAAACGAAGCTCGAAAACATACTGTATGTCAGAATCATTCTCGTCATCATCTTCGTCAAAGCTTCCTATCATATTATCGCTCCATCGATCCGAATTAGAATATTCTAGGGCATCTTCATCGTCACTTTCGAGCTGCTCATCTTGGACCTCAAAAGAGTCGGAATCGTCACTCTAAAGCATTTCAAGTGAACAAGGATTATTCGAACGGTTCAAAAAATACTAACATATGTAAGCTATGCCTTCAATCTGTGCTAGAAAAATCAAGGGAGAAATATTTGCGAAAACCAAAAATAAACAGAATTACAACTGACGTCATCAAAGAACTGATCTTCCATTTCGTAGTCATAATCTCCTTCATCGGAGTCACGCTTTCTTTCCCACTGTTCCAAATGGTTCAATTCTCGTTCATCTAATTCTATAAGTTGCGCTTTGTCTCGTCGTTTTTCTAAAAACAAAAGAAAATGGTATCGTTGCTCATCAGATAATGGATAAACTTACCTGGAAAAGCTGTAAGGTACTGTTCTATTATTGAGTTCAAGGTAGCATCGCGGGTGATATCCGCAGCGCTCCAGCGGCACTTCAAAACATGTTATGAAGAAGTGAAGTCGAGAAAACAAGAGCAATCTACCTTGGGGCATTTTGTATTCAACGAATTCCATTCGTAAATACAACCAGCACAGAATTTATGATTACAAGGAGAGACACTAGAAAGAAAACATTTCTTCAAGCACAAAATCGGAACTGAACTTACTTCATTGCATTATGCATAATTTCCAGACATATATCACAAGCTAGAAGTGATTCGTCAAAGAAACATGTTGGTTTTGATGGGTCTTTTGTTTCAGTGATAGTTTCCGACGATTTCACCAAATTTGCTTCTTCGCGCAGTCTTGCTGCTTTCATCTTACGTGCTTCTGCGCGGCGAGCCTAAATTATTGCTAAATTAGTGAAGTAGCAGCAGAGTACTGGTTATTAGCATTTTTTTGCTCGCCTGCTTTGATAAGAACCCTAAAACTATAGTTTTACGACAAAAACTTCCTGTTCCCATCAAAATCGAAATTCATAATAAGTTCAAAGCAATATAATCGAAGGAACTCTGGACTGTAAGAAAAAATCTAGACCTTCTGCTCTCGAACTGTAAATCAAAAACTTTGGTCTATCTGACAGCTGAACACAACCATAAAATTTAACGCGTATACTTCAAAATAGCGATGTTAACCAAAGATAATAACTCTATCATACTCAAAACTCCAACTTGCTATAGACAATGAACACTGTATGCAGTTCGATGTGATTTGGAAGATAACAACCGCTCACCGCACAGTACTTCATTGAACTGAACACTTCCCTGTATCTCATTACATCGATAAGCATTATAAACTTGGTAAACTCATTTCATCACTTTACCTTATTGAGGTTGGTGTCACACCCAGATTTATTGGACTTACCACTCAATTTGTATTATCTTACGCAACAATGCTAATTTCTCAAACGAACAGATCAACATGTATGTGACTTTAGTACAGCGCACAACTTCCTTTACTTAGTGCGGTGTAAAAAAAATTAATAAAAAGACGATTTCGAACTAAAAAACATACGTTTAGCGCCATCAACATAAGTCTTTCCTGCCTCCTCTGGAAAACAGGAAGATAATTTTCTAGCTTGAAATAGGGCAAAGTTTGGCAATCGAGCACTCTTTACAAAAGCTTGCACTCAAATGACATCCCGACTTCGAAGAAACCTTATAAATTCACTTCATTCAGTACTATCTGAACACTAACCGTGACGGGAGCCATGCTGTCGCGGTGTACGACTTGACCAATACCCTAAACAAGGTGTACAATACTTGGTAGGATAAGTTGAGCGCTTTTCTAAGGAAAACATAGTCGCCGACCGAGTAAAGTGAGTACCAAGAAATGAATAGGCCATGCTGGAAATTCCATAGTCTCGACCGTAAACAGGATATAACGGACTGATACCGACACCTTTCATAAACACATGAGCTTCATTTGCATAGATTTATTCATAAAGCCAACAAGCAACGAAAACACAGTAATGGCCAAACAAAACGAACTAAATGCTAGCCTTCTATCATAACGACGTAAGGTGCTCCTCCAGCAGCTTCGTTTGAGTAAAAACCGCCACAGAGAATGGGGCGCATGGTGACTCCTGGTTCGCAAGGTATGGTACGAGTACTGTATGCAGTAGAGTCTGCACCAGCTGAACTACAAGTGAAAAATATGCCTACAACAGTAGATGCAGCAGTAATCCTCTATCATCTCCTTAGAGAGAAGAAAAGAGAAGAGAGAGAAAGAAGAGAAGAAAAAGAGAGAAACAACAGTACATCGATTACATACGATAAGTTTATAACAACATGTGAATCATACTACAGAGCTACCGAGTTGTTAGACAGTAAGGCTAACGTTTCGGCTTTTTCGTCTTCATCAGAACCTTAGCCGCAAAAAGATGTTACTAACCACCACTGGCTCGTTCAGCGAACGAAAGATCGAGCACAAATCCAACAACCACATTACAATAGTGATACGCCAAAACCCAAAAACCTGTACAATTTGCTGATATTCGGCAAAAACACACACCACATATACACACAGGGGAATGCTAGAAATGAGATAGTAAACCAATACGTCAACAATTTGGTCCGCTAGATCTTCAGCTGTTAGCTGGTTAGTTTTGATTAGCTAGATCTTTTATTAGAAGCTTAGCTCCACAAGTCACTGTAATAGGATAAGCACGCATACAGATGCCCTATCAAGCTTGCGAGTCAACCGGAAGCGTGTTGTCGATACTAACAAATAAAGTCAAATAAGCGAGAGAAGTGCCAAGAGATCTTTACATGTTGGCGCAGAAAGACATATACAAACTTCGAATCTCTCATAGCAGCATCGTTCACACTTTAGCTACGAATATTAAATACAACGTGGTTCAGCGAAGAAAAGTTGCAAAGGTATTAAATGTTCTGCACTTTGGCTCCTTTCTTCTTCAAATAAATAAATTTAAGCGTGCGCGGTCATTTAAGCAGTTTTACGGCACTCTATCATGCGTCACGAAATTCACATCGTGAAGCTGCTTTACTTAATCAACTTTCACGGATACCAAAGATGTTAAAAATGCTCGAAAGCGCGGTAAACATGGCTCAAAAATATTTTGTTGGGATTAGCGCTAGGTGGGTTGATGGTGGCTTGACTTGGATCCTTATTTAGACTGAGTGCAGACCCCAGCATAAGTTTATCCAGTTGTTCCTGCCCCTCGTTTGCGCCGTCCACTATCGTCTCATTTGCTGATGACGTACACGAAGGCCAGGTGCAGAAACCTAGTCCAACTGATTTTCCAGCTGGTCCATCCGTTGCACGAACACGTCGGAAATGCAAAGGGAAGCACGAACCCGGAGGGAAGAAATGGTTGTCAGCCATGGATGTAGGCAGATTTGCAGGACCGTAGCTATGAGGCGATTTCCGTATAGGATCACCATCTTGCGACACTCCCAGCGGTGACTTCTGCTTAACCATATACATCTCTTTCAATCCCAATCAGGCCAAAGGCATGGTGGGAGTCCACGTCGCTAGGGCTTGGCGTCGCGCCTTCGGCCTTTGTCTGTTCATTCTTTGATTTTTTTGCTCCTTCCGACAATGCGCATATGCAGTGCGAACCTCTAGCGTTGCGAGTGCGCAATGACGTCAACGATTCGACCTGTAGGTGGGATAGACCGTAGAAGGAGAAAAGAAGAAGATTTCCTGCCTGCACGACACTTCAAGACAAGTGACACAGTTTGTTGTTGGATACTGTTGTTGTTTTTGTCGAGTCACAGCTACCTGAAGGCAGCGTACATCCATATCCTCCTACTGATGAACCTGGCCAAGGCATAGGCAGTATCAACGGGAGTGTCACAGCTCCACCGGCCGCGTCCTCGCCGCCGCCGTCTCGCAAAATTTTTGCGCCGTATTCGCGAATGCATCCTCTGGGCGTTTTCTGATGCTCAACGCCTTCAATCGCTACTGAGGGGCGATTCTGTGTCCATGATTATGCCGCACTGGGAGCACTAGTCCTGTCAAGCTTTCAATCCTCCCAGCGCCAATATTGTGAAAAGACCCAAAATAAGTCTTCTTCAGTACGTGAAAGATTTACCATCTTTAACACATTGACGACCTCTTGACACTCATGGTGTGTCAAGCAGTGACTACCATGTGGGACCGCTTGACACACCATGTGCATCAAGGTTTGAATTTTGTAAAAATGACTACTATTCTGGAAAAAACTCACTTCATAAACTTTCTTTTGCGCTGAGTCTAGGGATGACCTCTACCATTTTTGTCAGCCCTTCAAAGTACTGTAGGTGTACTGTAGACGGCAGTATGCGTACTTATATCGAAAAATTTGAGCTGGTCTGGAAAAGGCCTTGGTCCCAGAAGCCAGACAGCCAAAAATTTGCATGGTCGTCAATGTGTTAATAGCGGAATTTAAATTTAGTATCGTAGTATGATAAAGAAATCAATCTGGTGATACATCTCAAGTGGTACGTCTCAACGTTGGCTTGCTAGCGGGGTTGCTCTAATAGCAAAGGCTATAAAGTGCGGTTCATAATTATACGAACACCTTAAATTTTGAAAGTTTTTAGACTTCTTGGAAGAAACTCAAAAAACCGTTGGTACCACGCGATAGAGCACAGTCGAAAAAGGTATATGATCCATAAGAATGGAAATCGATGTCAATCTTAGGAGTGTTTTTGCGCCTAATGCGAATTTTTAGCGGTTCATAATTATACGAACACCTCAAACAAAGTCCATTTTTCATTCAAGGCTGCAATTCTTCAAATCCAAATTTTTTGTAAAGTTACAGTAACAAAATCTGACATATCTGCTACACACTGAACCCAGTGCAGTTGAAAAAGAGGATCTCTACTTTTTTCAGATGGCTCTAAATGGTTTTGGAGTGATTGCGCTCCAAAAACACCCGTTCTTCTGTAGTTCACAAACACTAATTAACTTCTACCAAGGCTATGAGATAAAATAAGCTTCTTCGATAAGTATTTTGTTTGGGGCTTGGAAAATTTTTGCGTTTCCGTGCCATTTTTCAACCAAGTTCCAAACTTACCCTAGAGTTAGCACGATTTCAAGCCTCCAAACTCAGCTTCTGAAGCCCTACAATGAAGTAAGCTTATAGTATGTAGAAATTCACAAGACAGTGTATTTGGCTAGAAAAAATCAGCAACATCAAGCGTTTGTTTTGGCCACGCAGACGTCATTTAACCAAAACCACTGTTTTTACTATTGCAATCACACATTTATTTGGTTTGTAGCTCCATAGCCTCGAGAACAGTTCTACAAAAACCCAAAAACTTTGACATGAATACATTATTATGCAAACAATGCAGCTGCTTTATATCAAGTGTTTGCGCGGAAGAATGGCTGAGTTTTGAGGCTCGAAATCGTGCTAACTTTAAGGTAAGATTGGAATTTGGTTGAAAAAAGGCACAAAAACGCATAGATTTCCCAAGCGTCAAACAAAATACCTATCAAAGAAGCTTATTTTATCTCGTAGCCTTGGTAGAAGCTAATAAGAGTGCGTGAACTACAGAAGAACGGAAGTTTTTGGAGCGCAATCACACCAAAAGCATTTAGAGCCATCTGAAAAAAGTAAAGATCCTCTTTTTAAACTGCACTGGGTTCAGTATGTAGCAGATATGTCAGACTTTGTTACTGTAACTCTACAAAAAATTTGGACTCGAAAGATGCAATCTTGAATGAAAAATGGACCTTTGTTTGAGGTGTTCGTATAATTATGAACCGCTAAAAATTCGCATTAGGCGCAGAAACACTTCTAAGATTGACATCGATTTCCATTCTTATGGGTCAAATACCGTTTTCGACTGTGCTCTATCGCGTGGCACCAACAACTTTTTGAGTTTCTTCCAAAAAGTCTAATAACTTTCAAAATTTAAGGTGTTCGTATAATTATGAACCGCACTTTATTCCACTAATGAGAAAATAGTTCAAACAAAGCACGTATTCTTCGTAAAGCAGCGTACTTAACTTAGTTTGCTCAGGTTTGATTTTCAAAAGCTAGATTGAACTTTGAGCGATATCATAGCAAGGCGACAGCATGTGCATTTCAAAAAGATCGAAAGTTTAGCGCGTTGTTTTGAGTAAATCAGAGGGATACAGAGTCAGAATCAAAATCAGAGATCGTAGAACTTGGACGTTATGAACAGCTCCTGAACCCGCTGCCATAAAAAGATTACCAGTCAGAACATAAGTGTTTCAAAGTTCATCTTATCTGAACCCGCCGCCTCTTCTCACAGATCGTCAACTTCAACGATATCCTAGAGCTGTCTGATGCGCGCTACCTACACAGTGACTCGTAAGGCTTCTTCAACAGCTTTGCAGATATATTGAGATCAAGCATAAAACTTCGGCTATTATTTACAGACGCCCAATAAACAATTCTTATATTTACAAAGAAAATTGGATTAGTGTCAGATTGTTTGTTAGCCGAATGAAGCGGATTAAAGCCACAAAAGCGTGAAAAAAGAGCGAGGTTCTGATCACACAATACTTCTGAAAAGGCATAATTTTTTGATACAAACACAATTATGCTATTCTGCTTACCGTATCTGTGCTAGAAGTTCATCAATAGTGGCGATGATCTTGTCTCGGTGATCTTCCGTCCAATTCTCACGATGCTCCATGACTATCTCGTGTCTTCGATTATCCGGTGTTGAAAAGAACGCTTCTAAATGAGCAGTTACTGAGGAACCTCCAAAAATAGAAACTCAAAGCACATTTGCAATTTCGCGAAGGTGATGGAAAGATAAAACGCAAAACACACCATGTAAAGTGTTTGCAGGGTTTTGGTCAACCAAGGCTTTAGGAACATTTCGCCTTCTGAACCCAAACGTATGCTCCGCAAGACAGTGACCATTCAATGACAAAGTATAGCGTTCTTCTGGTGCAACGCGAGTTGGTTCAACAGATATGCATCTTTCCAACAATCGAAGATAGCGATCCGATGACTGCATATGATCCCTACAAAACGGCTACAGTACTGGTACACCGCGAATCTTTAAGTTAAAAACATATTTTCATATCAAATATTGCTATGAACGATACAAAAGTCATATTCACGCCTCAATTGCGGCAAAGCTACAATCACAATCAGAACGACTTTAAGTCGTCATGAAAATACAGAGTAGTTTATGGTCGTCCCTGCTTCATAGTTGCTGGGACGCATACAATTTGTATCAAACACGTGTCCCCTGCGCAGCGATATAGTGATGCAGCAAATGTGAACACTCGAGCACGCCCGCGAACGCAGCACGCGGCTCTAGCGTTGCGCCTGAGCAGACCGAAATGAGAACACATTGTTGATACAGATAATACAGTGTAAGCGCTATTCTGTATAAGATGGACCTTTTGGCACCAAAAATAGTCACTGTGTCCCAGATTCCTCCTAAAGTCGGCAACACAGCTCATTTTCTGTCTTTGACGCATGACTTTATAGCATCGCAAGAATACACGCCATATTTGATCCACTTCTTCCACTTCGCTATTAGTCAAATCGGTAAACTGACCAATGGCAGTGGATGAAGCCGATTAAATAGATCAAAAATGGCTGTGCCAAAGCGCGATGCGCAATGGCGGGCGTCTATAAGAACTGCGGAATGAGAGTCTGCATGGTATTTATGTTCTTCGATATTTTGAACCGAAAAAAAGAAAAAGAAACAATTACTTACATGAACTGGTCGTTCGAGATGATCACACCATCGGAAGCAAAGGCGATCTCCAGTGTGATAATGTCATCGTATTCATGCCCATCAACCAAATGAATTAGTCCCATACGTTCCAGCTTCTGTAACATCTCGTTTACACATCTAGACAAGAATTCCTGCAACTATCGGAACCTACTTCGACGGCAAACTTGTGCGTAACAGTTGCATCCAATGTATACTTTCGCTGTGATACAGCAATGACATCAAAATTATTTTTGACAAAGTATCGTATAAGGGCAAGTAGACCAGCAGAGCTTGCTTTGTCAGGTCTGAAATAACCAATACGATGTCTCTTCAAGCTCGTGCAGTTTGAGTATTTGGAATCGGCTCATAGCGACGCATCTGATGATATGCATTTCAATCCAGTTCGCCACCTTAGGTTGGGATCGCTCCCTTGTGAAACTTTCCCCTATGAATAGGTAAAACTTTAGTGTTCAACGAGTCAAACATTTTAGCGCACATATTGTGCGCACTGTTGCACCTTTCATATCTGCGACGCCGTTCTCTTGTAAAAGTATGAGCGGTCAAAAGTTGAAGTCATTGGGGTCCTACGAATTAAGTGTCCTTTGTTGGCTAACGGCTGAAAGTACCCTCTTTTTCGCCGCGCGCGATTTCGCGGTCCCAAACGTGTTAAAATTCAACCCGGAAGTGCATGACTAGCATGATACTGAGTGTACTAATTTCAAAGAATGCTACAATTGAAAGAAACCAAACAAGTATTTTGAACAAAACAAGTAGAGTTCTTTGGTAAAAGCTAATGAGTAATGAAAAGTCCAATTCTGGCACACACAGCGCTATTCCTCAAGAATGAGTTGATCAGAAACACTTCTTTATGATTCCGTTGTGAACATTCATTGAAATCAGTACACTCGATATCATGCTAGTCAAGCAATCCCAAGTTGGATTTCAGAGCACATTATACATTGAAACCCCAATGAATTTATAGATTTAACCGCTCAAATTTTTCCAGAAAACGGTACCACATATATGGAAGGAGAACTGGGATCAGCTAATCAAGACGCATCTAATGGTATGCGGCTCATGCCAGTCTGCCACCTTGAGTTGGGATCGTTCTTGCCAGGAATAGTAACTGATATATCAACGCTTGTTTTACCGTTTTGAATATTCCACAATTTGAAGTAGAAATTGATAAGGCCACATAATGGAAGCAATACAAACGCGCAAATGGTTGTTTCACATGTATAAACGGCAAAAGGTTTATATGCACATCTTAGGATATGCCATGCGCCAATGCCCAACTGCCAAATACCACCCATCGCTTATAAATGCGCAGCTGTAACGTAAGGGATCGGTCAGAGTTTGCCAGTGTTGCCGGTGTTGAAAGTGTTGAAAGTGTTACCGGTGTTGAAAGTGTTGCCAGTGTTGAAAGTGTTGCCGGTGTTGAAAGTGTTGAATGGAGATCATCAGTCTAGCAGTTTCATTCTTTCTCGAACGATCTCACCGGCTGGTGAATACGTTGGAAATGGAATTGGGGAATGAGAAATGAAATTGAAATGAGATGGGGAAGATTTTCCATGCAAAAGATCCTCAAACAAACTCTCTGGAAAGTGGACGGCTTGTCTGGAATAGGTAATCTCCAGTATTTGAGAAAGCTGACGTCTGAGTAGTAATGTGTTTTAGTTCGAATCCTGCCGCGCTTGCGATTAGTGAGTAAAGGACCTAAGTGAGGTCTGCAGCGTTTTCGAATATTGGAGATTGCCTATTCCAGACAAGCCGTCCACTTTTCAAAAAGTTTGTTTGAGGATCTTTTGCATGCGAAAACATTCCCCATCTCATTCACCTAGTTTCATTTCTCATTCCCCAATTCCATTTCCAACGTATTCACCAGCCGGTGAGATCGTTCGAGAAAGAATGAAACTGCTAGACTGATGATCTCCGTTCAACACTTTCAACACCGGCAACATTTCCAACACTGGCAACACTTTCAACACTGGTAACACTTTCAACACTTTCAACACCGGCAACACTTCCAACACTGGTAACACTTTCAACACTTTCAACACCGGCAACACTTCCAACACTGGTAACACTTTCAACGCTTTCAACACCGGCAACACTGGCAAACTCTGACCGATCCCTAAAGTCATTTTCTTCTCAAGTAATCTCCTAGATTCACGAAAGTCATCGGAAACTCTACTATGTTCCTAGCAAAATTGAATCACGCTATTGTAATGCAGAGAGAGGACGATTTGTGCCTAGCTATCTACAAGATGGAAAACCTCCAATTTAATTTGAAATTCTCAACTCAACCACCCATTACCAGCAGCAGGGTAGAAATAGTCAAACAATGTTACGACTGTCAACTAACAACTAATGAGAGCATTAAAACATTATACACAACAAATTGAACTCACTCATGATCCGTTTTCGTGATGTGCATGATATTTGGTGCATCAATGACGACACAACGTCGAACTTCTTCAGCATTTCTCGGTTGTAAAAAATCATCGTCGAGAATGATACTTGACATCGGACATGTGCTCAACCTAAACGACTTGATTACAATCTCGTACACGACTGATCATATCATTCAAAGCAAGTATCACACCTACTTGATTTTACGCTTTTTTGGCATCTGGGATGTTAGCGAACTAGAGGGTTAAAGCCAAGGTTAGTAGTAGGATTACCGCAGCAGTTGCTGCGATAATGACCTTACCATGAATTATAGGAAGGGACGTTTGTGGTATTGGCCATGGGGCGTGGCATACACTACAATGCGCAATCCATATGCATTCGCCATATGTAATTATAATCAATCATAAACTCATGCAAACGCGTTTTCCACTATACTAAGCTTTTACAGCATCAGAGTTATAGATTCCGTTATGAGTTAGGTAAATTAGGTAAATTATACGTTTACAGCCACCTTCGAATGAAAATCCGGGATAAAAATAGTAATGAGAAGCCGTAGCAGGAAATGAAAACGGAATCCCCCCCGCCGCTCCCCAATTATGCATCGGATCATCATGTTGATTGGCAGAAAAAATCACTCAATGCTACGGCTTGAAACGTTTTCACAAACTACTGCAAGCTCTTATTAAATTAATCTGATTCAACTGAGATTTTGCTGGCAGTCTGAAGGGAACTCGTCAGTAGTAAATGTGTAAAAACACATTTGATGGAAAGTACTACTGTTCTCCAGAAAAAACAAAACAGAGTGCAAGCGTATGCGAATGAGTGCGAAACTGCAATTGCAATTGGCATGCGTGTCACCAACTGCAAACGAGATAAAGGACATTTATCACTGACGTCACTCAGACTCATGCCGCTTGCATTCTGACAGTTTGTCGTAATAAAAACCGTAACCGAAAAGGAAAATTTCTTCACTCTGTGTACAGTTTTGCACAATCCAAAGTAAATTTTCCAAACTTAGTTACCAGTCATTTTCCTGCATTGTAAGTTTTGCGACGTCCTGTGGACTCCCTGAACGTGACTTGAGGTAGGATCGAACAACACGGCGCACGATTGCGGTAGTCATCGATAGATAATCGAACATGAATGATGAACGCAAATCTGACATTTGCTCACATACACTCACGGCTCGAACAGCAGGTCAAATCAAGTAATCAATAAAATCCTTATAACAATGATACATGTCAAAATTCTGCATAAGGGTTGATAAAAGTGGGCGAGCCTTGGCAACGCTACTATCGGTAATTCGCTAGCATTGTGAAATAGAGACAGATCAACGATTGATCGACTTTGCAGAACTCGCACCTAGATATCGTCTCTTACCCAGTTGCTGCTTTCCTTGTTCTGCGTCCTGACCTGCAGCACGTATAGTTAACATGTTGGCGATTGCAACAACATGTTTGCAACATGCAACAACAGTTGACAGATCATTTTGGTCATTAGCCACAGCGCCAACATGTTGCTGCATGTTGCCAACACATTCGCCACGCGTGCGCGTCAGAGACGCAGACTGAGGACAACAGCAGCTGTGGAAGGGACAATGTATCTAATGATGTATCTTCGACCCCCTAGCATTAGATACATCGTCCCTTCCACAGCTGCTGACCAGCAGCTGTAGAAGGGACGATGTATCTAATGCTAGGGGGTCGAAGTTATCTTCAGTCCAAATCTGCTGCTGCCTCCGCTCCGGTCTCTGACCTACGGCACGCACGGCTAACTGGCAACATGCAACGAAACATGCTTTTAGGTCAACATGTTAACCTTAACGTCTACTAACATCCAACCGTTATTGCATGTTGCTGCCATGTTAGCCGGACGTAGCGCAGGTCGGGAACGCAGAGCAGGGGTAGCAGCAGTTGTGAAAGGGGCGACTCAAGAGTATTTGGAAAGTAAGCCTTTCTGCACGGGTAGGACATGTGTAGCCGCTTCTCAATTTATGCTGCTCGCACTCTTCGTCTCTGAGCCGCGGCGCGCTTGGCTAAGATTTTGGCAACATGCAAGAACATGTTGCCGTCCACACTAGAAGCCAAAACGTTTCGCTGACATGTTGTTGCAATCGCGAACATGTTGCTACCAAGTGTACCACAGGTCAGAGACGCAGAGCAAGGCAAACAGCAATTGTGGATGGGGGATATGTGGTTTTATAGAAATCACACTGCAATGACCATATTGGTTGACGGTGCAAGCCTGCTTTCTTCTATTTGTGCTACCTCGGCGAGTGCACAATGATTTTGCCAGAAATCAGAGAATGAGAGAGCAGACATGTTACTGCCACCGCTGCGACACGGCATGGTGGTAGCAAGTCGGAAGCGCGTCCTCTTAGTCTTAGTCTACTCAAATCAAGACACGACTTACAAAAAGTTTGAAAATCATCAGGATAAGAGTGTTCACTCACTGTCCCGTGCTCCAGTTCGACAGTGCTGGACTATCATCCATGTCAAAATCTTGGCTGACTGCTGCCAACGGTACAACAACAATGCAGCTATTCCACGCCCCTTACCATATATTAGGAAAGGGGATCCGATAAGCGACACTATCAACCAAACAAAGCTGTTCTGCCCTTGCTGTGGTTGATGAAGTCTTTAACACGTTTCGAACCGCGAAATCGCGCGCGGCGAAAAAGATTGTACTTTCAGCCGTTAGCCAACAAAGGAACCTTATTTTGTGGACTGTGTGCTACATCTGTAATCAGCATATCAGATAAGCTCCATACTCGAAGTTTCAAGTGAATTCGAAGTGTTTGAATTTTGTCGCTTGAGAAGAACTTTCGTGTTTTCCTGAACAGGGACAAGATCTCGATTCCTAGTAGTACCCAAAAGTATCTATGTTGCAAACGGTACACACCAATATCTAGACTACGGTTTTCCTCCTCGAAATTGATGCAAGAAGAAGTTGCGACGTCGCACGCGTCGTTCGCGTTGCCGCACTTTGTTGCAACTGCTGTTCGATTTCTCCTTATATCTCTTGAACAAACATTAGCGGTAAATACAGCTCTACAGAATTATTTGAAAAGTAGGAGCTTAGGCTTTGACCTAAGCTCCCTTTTCAGATAACTTTGGACTAAAAGAAAACTTCATGTGAACGTCAAAATGATCCTTCAAAGCAACGTGCTGCACCATGTGCAGCACCGGTCCGAAACGTGTTGAAGGCACCGTCCACCCAAAATTTCGACCTCTTGTTTTTGCCGTTCCAGGGCCTTCTCATACCCCTGATTCCGGATATATAAGTCGGAAATCCGCGAAAACCACGAAAAACCCCGTTTTCAGAACCCGCAGAGCGATTTCTTCGGAACGGTGATTGGTTGGGTGCGCACGGATGGGCGGGACGAACGTCACGCCCACTCAAAGGGGAGGAGCCAAAGTGGCGAATCTGTCATTCGAACGATTTTCGAAGCAATTATCTCGCTTCGGAAGCAACTTTTGCCAGCGCATTGGATAAGTATACAGTTGGGGGCCCCACCACTGCTAGGGATCAGAATCTCATTGACCCCATTTTGGGTGGACTGTGCCTCTAAACCAAAGGGAGTTGTCGCGAATTGCGCGACCTCCTTATAGACGTTCTCCGTCGTCTCTCGGAGGGTCCCAAACCGCTGCCCCGCCTAAAATAGCTTCAGAACTAGCACAAAAGTCAGCTCGTCACATGTGTCTATCAGAGAGCGGTCTCACAATCAGACATTCGCTGTTGACTCGCGTCGGAGATCCGCCCCTTGAGGGGTTAGCAGGAAAGCGCGTAGATATGCGCGAGACAATTTTTTGACAGATTTTTGGGATTGCGCGAAAGGCATCACAAACTCATGCCTGTATCAACGTGTATTTCGCAATAGCGACATTGCTCTGCCTAGGCGTTAGCTATATATTTCATGTTCTTTCACGCCATTCTTAGTATCATTCACTTCATTTATCGCTTCGTTTATCAATTTATCATTTGTTGGTTTTGTTGCGTTCAGCTTTTGAATGCAAACCTACATTCGATTCTACTTTAATTCTTGCAGCGGAACTTGGGCATTTATTACTGGGGTCCCCACTATTTCGCATCAATATCCAAACACAGGTAGTGCCTTGAGGATCTGCGATTCAACTTGTTGTCGTTGCCTCAGCTGTTGTCTTACAAGTATTTCGACCATAACAATATGTTCGTCTATACAGATGCCATTTGAAGATAGGAACTGCAAGTTGTGTCTATACTTTGCTTTTGCAGATATTGTTGCACTATGATTCATCCTTTTCTTACAGAATTCTTAGGGACACTTTGAAACTCTGGTTACTGACATGTTGAACATGGAGCAAGCTTTGGTCGATATTTCTGTGTAGCTTTCTGGTGCTTGTGGATTAGATGCGGTGGTTACTCTCAAGGTATTCGCTGCTTTAAGAATTTTCTGTCCGCTTCAATACCATAAACGAGTTTTCTTCCTTAAAAAACAGGCTTCATTGCACCATTTTATTCGTTATCGTACACGTTGTCTTAATTAGAATTCCGCTTAGTGGCTTGTGTATTGTAGCACTCACAAACTCCAGATATAACTTTGTCTCAGTAATCATCCCACAATTTCATTGTTTGTAGGTAACTATATCCATGGTGGGATTGTGCGGTAATACAGCTTCCCCGCTCTCGTTCTCTGACATCATTCTAATTGATGGATACTTTGCGGCTGGTATGGGAACAAGTTTCTGGCAAATCTCATTGGCACTGAGCTGATGTAAATTCTATCAGGGTGAACGGTAAATAATGGGACAGCTTGATTTTTATTACATTTCGACATTTTTGTCCTCACCAATAACAAGCAGGCTGCAACTCAAACGTCGCTCACATAACCGACCTTCGCCTATTATTCTGGCAGCGCGTTACCGCTCCTCTCTCATAACCGTACGCGTGGCGTCGTAAAAAATTCCGACAGGGTTTTTTGAACAACTCTAAAGTCGTAAAGCAAATGACATACCATTCGAAAGAGCTCTTCATGCTCTTTTAAATGATATTTAAATGCACGAGATTTATTTTCAATTTCAGAAAAAAAGCGAAAAAAAACCTGAAAAATAGCTATTTTTGGCGCAATAAAAAACCAAGAAAATCATATTTTGCCCTATTTGAGGCAAGCTGCACATGGATGGACAGAGCGTAAAAAGCTCTATCAGATGGTACCTAGAAAACTTGCGTTCACCTGCAAGGAATTGAATAACCGTATCTTGATTCTCGAAGCTGCTAATAGCCATATCTCGTGACTTTGGAAGTTGAGGCCACCAAGCCGTCGTGGGTTCGGTGACTCTCCCACTACCCACTCCAGCAGTGGTATTTTGAGTGGTCTCACATGTTTTACGCGCAGATACTGCTCAAAGTTCATGATTTGCCGAAGTGATTAACTTTGCATTTTAGCAAGTTTAAAAAATTATTAATTATGTAAATGACCTCATCTAGGTATTATCTGAAAGGGAATAACATATTCTAACATTTTTCGAAATTGAATATCTAATCACTTTTCTTTCTTGAGAAACCTGCAGTTATTTCGTAAGTGTCCCATTTTTACCGTTCCTCCTAATATTAAGATGTTGCGTTAAGGCGCCGCTTTGAAATGACCCGTTTTCGAATTTGAGCTTTGTAACAGCACACCTGATTTTTTCACTGGGTAAAAGTTTGGAAGGCAGATTTCAGTGCATCCCACATAATACTGCTTTTTTCAAAGTATATTTTGGGGATGAAGATACAGTCGTTGCTCGAACGTCTGCAAAATCACCCGCAGAGTCGTAATAGATGGAACAACGCTAAAAATTTTCTGCTTATTACTAATGTTTATGAAAATTTGTAATAGATATACGTTGCTTACAACTGGTACACCTCTCTATTCAGTAATGTAAGCAAAGTAGAGAAACACGTTGGAGATAACGCGCCCCAGCTGCGTCCGGACAAAGGGGTGTGACGCGCTTGAGCTCCCGCATATCTCTTGCAAGGTGCTTGTCGCACTAAAGCGTTGTCTCGGGCAGCTTGTCCCGACACATAGTGCTGTCTCGGGATTTTGTCGCGAATCCGATTACTTGTGTCGCGCCGTCATCTCGCGCTTAAACAAAGCCTTGGATTGCTCGAGTCAGCGAATGTCTGAGGTTGGGTTTATCAGTCCAA